CTAGTGAGAAGAGATGTTAAATTTAAGGTATCTTTAGCAGTTATCTCTATGGAAAAAAATACTGAAGAAAAAACAACATGCCAAGAGAATGAGATTTTATTTCACTTGGTTTCAGTTTCTGAATGGTTTTGAGAAGTCTATGCCATTGTGTTTAGTAAGAATTCTTGAATTTCATTGACCTTGACTTTTTAATGAAGGTCAACTTGGCTGGTACTGAGCATTGGGGTAGTTAGATCCTATATCTGACATGCTCGTATTTTATCAGCAAACTTTGTCTTGCTGCCAAAAACAATAATATAACAAAACAATGCACTATTAATATTAATTATATTTACTTGTTAATGAGTCAGAATAGCCTTTTAGAACATGGCATATACAGGACTCACCCCCCCCCCCCAATTTAAAAAAAAACTATTTGCACTGACAAATCTGTTGCCCTCCTGTCATGCTGAACAAATTTCCCCTTCCCTCCCCTCCCCTTACCAATTTCACAAACATTAATCTGTCGAAAAAATCGGGATTGCATTTACATTGCTTCTTCTAAAGGCTATTCTTGCACTCTTTACTTAATGCTGCAGTAGTACTGTATAATTTCTCGTAATCAATATTTTTCATACTTCTGCAGTTTACCCATTTTTCCTTGCACCAGTCATGTGTAGGTCTTTCCTAAATTCTCTTGAGTGACCACAAAACAATGACCTCAATTCGTAGTTGTACTTGACCAAGTGTTCACACATTTAATTTACTGTACTTTATTATTGTCCAACTTCGACTTGGAGTCATTTTTTCGTGGTCACTCAAACGAATCTTGAAAATGTCTATATCCAGGATGACATACACAATTTATTAGAGTGAAATAAAGTGTATTTTTATATGGCTTTTGGAATGTGTTGTTAATTTATTTTGTTAATTAGGTAGGATTTTGATTATGCTTGACCCAAGCTAGGGGAGATTGGCTATCTAAGTCAGGGCACTGCTAACTCACAGATCGAAACCTGAAACGACCTCTTGGCTAAGCAAATGTCTAACTCAATTCCTTGAAAGTAATTCCTATTGGTGAGATGCGTCAATCCTACTCGTCCTGGTCCGGATTTTCCGTTTCAACTTACTTGTTACCAGACTCCTCTCAAAATAGACATCTGATCATGGCGGTCAACGAGAAAGGTAATGTTGAACCGTCCCAAGAAACTGTACATTTGTCCACCAATAAGTCTTGTTTTTCTTATAAAACACGTATGAAAAGTTTCTTTAATATATCACTATGTGCAGGGAACACTGTTTTAAAAGAAGGCTGGGCTGTCAAGGAAAGTGGACAAGCTTTTCTAGGCAAAACAAACTGGAAAAGAAGATGGTGTCGTCTCGTTAAACGTCCCGAGGGAATCACAACATGGTCATATTACAGGTAAAATCTTAAATATTTCAATCATGTCTGTAGTGAGTGAAGATGAAAACTCAAGCTTGTTTTTTAGCTTCACCTTGCAACTCGCTCGCTGAAGTCAACTATTTAGATAAACTTGAACTGTTTCGTACTTCCGGTTTCGAATAATTTTGCCAATATTTACTTATCATAATCATAGGATTTCCAATAATCCTAGTTTAAACTAGCTTTGCTTAACCAATGAAAGATTCGTAAACTCTCTTAAGAATTTATTTGACCTTATTTCCATTGTTTTGTTTTGTGTCTATTTGGTTATTACGCGTCACTGGTTGAATAAGATTACTCTTATAGCATTTATATCGCATCTCAGCTCTGATGCAGCATAGATGACATTTTTAGTAAGCGCCGTCTTGACTGTCGTCCTCCCCCCTACCAGTGTAAGGAAATGTTGAGTTATTTGAAGAGAGACGTTTATTATGCTGTCAACAGATCATAGTGAGGAAGTTATCATACAAGCTGTAGTGAGCAAGTTGATCAAGTGATATAAGCGTTCAGGCATGACAAAACACCACCATAAAGTTACTTTTAAGCTTATATCACAGCTATCTAACTTGTGCATTCAAAAAATTATAAGAAATTAGCAAAGAAGTGAGGGGAAGCCTCTATTTTCGCAAAAACAGAATATTTTGAAGCACTTTATCGAGAGTGGTACCACGGTGTCGAAAACATCCCATTGTCCTCAACATGACAGCTCTCTAAGTTTTTTCATTTCCTTTGCAAGTATAAAAGGTGAATGAACTTTGAAGTAGTTTTCTTCTCCATGAAGAACTTGCATTCTTTTCTTAACAAAGAACAGAGGAAGCACTTAAACTATCAAGGTTTCTTGCTCGATGTCTTAGATTGCTTCATAAGTGATTTTTTCTCATTGACCTATTTGTTATCATAATTCTTTCTTTCTTTCTTTCTTTCTTTCTTTTTTTCTTTCTTTCTTTCTTTCTTTCTTTCTTTCTTTCTTTCTTTCTTTCTTTCTTTCTTTCTTTCTTT